TGACTTGAAACCTTCTCTATACTTATACACAAAGACATTACAACCTAACACACAATTGTAAAAGGCCAGAAACTCTCAAAAACTCCCTATCACCAAAAACCTGTCAAAACTTGCAGTTTGAGACCAAGCATAGCAATCCAAAAATCTACTCGTGCGTTTCAAGTTTTAATCACTCAAACACTTAACCTACCTCATATCTAAGTGTTCACGACCATCATCCCTTCATTGTAACTCCTCCTTCTCCATCTGCCATTTTTTTTCAAGTTTGCAGGTTGACTTGGATAGAGAGATTCAGGCACTTTCAAAGCAATGTAAGGATTGGAACACACTCAGGGAGGTTCAGGCAAGCTAAAGGAATCTTCAGGCCTTCATAAATCTCACTCAAACTCCATTCACGATCTCAGATGAAAGAGGTAAGAACTCCAACTTCTATCTCTCCATACATGCATCTATTGGTCACGATTTATGAAGAAAAAATGTAGATATTATTATGCTAAAGCTAACCATGTGCATAGGTTTTATTTCTGATCATTATGTATAGAGAATTTTAGAGTTTAAATTTTTGTGAAAATTAGGGTTGAAATTAGGGCCTTTGAAATTAGTTGTGGTCATTGACTGTTAGTTTACATGAGTTACATGTTTGAAATCGTGGGAAAGAGTACTATCATTTTCATGTTGGAAGTTTCCATTTTCATGGAGAAATGAGAAAGATACATAGGTTCTGGCTAACTTGAGGAAGAAGACGAAGTACATGGCAAGGAGGCTTTATGTGTTATGTATTTTTTATTTCATATGAACTAACGGATGTACAACCACCCTAGTGGCAAGGTAGCGCGCTGGAAATGCATAGGTCATGGGTTCGAACCTTGGCGCTACCTTTTGCATTTTCATATTTTCCAGTTTCATTTTTTTTGCCATTTTTACAGCGTGGGCTCAACTACTGGGCTTCATATTTTTTTCCTGATACTTACATCCTGTTTACTCAGGATACCCCCTGGCCCATGCATTTTATTTATTTGTTTTTATTTTCATTTTTATTTTATTAGATATTTTCTTTAACATAAAAAATCATAAAAAAATATAAAATATGATAAATATTGCATTTTTGATTTATTTTATTTTTATTTTCACATAAAAAAATATATTTTCATTTTATTATATACTAACTATTTTTCTTAAATAAACTTGTAAAAATAAAATAGACTTAGGTATATTTTTATTTATTTTTCTTCATACTTGTAAATGTTTATTTTGACATATAAAAGACTAAATATCTTCATAAATATTATTTTTTATTTTTTATGCAAAAATACACAAAGATAATACTTAAAAAACTTTATTTTATTTTAAATTAGAAATTAGGGTTAGTCATTTTTTCAAGAAATAATTTCCTTTTCTTAAATTTTTAGGATTAGGTCAAAACTCTTTTGCATATGAAAAACAAAGCAAAAATCTTTTTCTTGCATACATACCATTGCATATTTATATTGTATATTATTTATTCAAATATTTGTACAAATTCGATTTGGTTGTAATAGCTTAATTAGGTTTATATTATTGCAAATCCCCATTCATAATTTGTATTCCCCCCTCCCATAAAATGTTGTAATAGCGTAGTAATCTTTAAATTACGCAATTTATCGCTTTTGTATACCATGCTAGTAATTAGGGTTTGTATGACAAGATAAAAACAAATAAAATAGAAAACCCTAATCCAAGACAAAGCCAAGCATGAAAATAACACACTTACAAACAAGCATCCTTAGGGTTACTCCACTTGGTTGCCTTACATAAAAATGGCCATATTACGCATGCGAAGTATCTTGGCAAAAACAAACAAATATAAGATCATAGTCCCTCGATGACGCTATTCAAAGTTGCCTTATAAAATGATCTTAGTCCCTCAAAAAATGCTAAGATACTTTGCAACATTGCTAATCATGGTTATACGATGACCCACACCTGTCCTGTTTACATCCAAAGGTAGGGTTGCTTACCAAATCAATGGTAAGACAACAATATCAAAGGAAAAGAAAATGAACAAGAAAGATATTTGAGTAGGTAGATTACTTCTAGTTACTTGCTCCATTTCAAACAACTATCCTTGCTATTTTCAAAACAAACACACACATTTTCAAACATCTTACAAAGATTGAAAAACATTTTTAAAAAGACAAACATCTTTGTATACATTCTTACGAACGAGAATCATTACAAAGATTGCCTAAACAATGACCTCTTTTACAAAATACTTTCAAAACCACACAAAACACAATTTCAAACAAAAAACAAGTGATCTAGCAAGTAACTAAGAGCCCATGGAAAACCATGGATGAAAAGGATGCTAATACCTTCCCTTTTCATAATCTACCCCTCAAACTCAAGAAACAATCTCAAAGGTCTTTCCTGTGCTTTTTCACCTTTTCTTTTGGATAAAAGAAAAGTCGGTGGCGACTCTTGCTGACCGCAACATTTGCGATAAAACGCAAAACCCTCAAGTCAGTTCTCCCACCGTATCACAAATGTACTATAATTTTGTGCTATTTCTTTAGTTGTTGTTGATGTTTTCTCTGATTTTTTTGAGTGTGGTATGCTTATGATGCTCAGTTTGTGGTATTTTTGAAGATATACACTTTGCACATGTTGTAAGTTTTGAAAGAGTTGTTTTGCCAAAATTTTCTAAAAGGGGGAGATTGTTGTTCTTTTTGGATTGACTGCATCATACAAAATAACATGGAGTATACAAGATCTTTTGGTGAAGAAAGAACACATGTCGGAACAGATGTTCCAACATGCGTGCAACATCTGGCCGTTGTCTGCATGGCATGTTGGATGTTGCTCTGAGCGTATTTTCTGATTGTGATTAAATTATATTTATTTCTATCTTTTAGCCATGCATTAATTAGGTTTGTTTGGCAGATTAAAATGATCAAACTAAATCAATTAGAGATTTGAATTTGAATTAAAATTAAATCATATATTTGGTTAGAGTCTTTTGTGGAACAAATAAAAAACATAATCTTATTATATCTTCTATAATTTTGGACGAGATCATAACTAATATCTAAAGGAGAAGGGTCCAAAATTGCAATTGTTATTTAAGGAGACTCAAACCTCTCTTGAGAAAGTGTGCATTAGGATTGAATATCTTTGTGCTAGGATTTTATTTGAGTCCTTTGTTTGTGTTACTTGTGCACCACACTAGTGCCTACATTCATATCATAAGGCATAATCGTTGGTTTGTTTAGTTGAGTTGTAATTCAACATTCTTTAAGTTGTTTATTGAAGTTGATCACTATGTGTTCTGGACTGGTCCAAAAGCATGAGTGGGCCTAGTCTAAGACATCTCATAGGTGCCACCCACTGACCGTGACCCGGACCGCCCGCACCTATCAGGCAATGTCACCCTCTTGCCCTTCTGATCCAGCGCCGATCCAAGATGCCCGTCGAGCACCTTCTCAGTCTGCCCGACACCAGTGTCGTGCAGACTACCAGGGACCGACCAGAGAGATGCCCACAACCAGCCTCCTCATCAGAACCAACAGCTAGTTACGAGCACATCTGCCCGATTTGACCAAGTCCTGACAGTTACCTGATTTTCCAGACCCGCATATCTAGGCGGGAAATCAGGAACCAATGGCTACGTGCCAGGGGCAGTATATAAACCCTCACACCTGTGAGGGCCAGATATCACATATTCACCACTCACTACCTGCTATTTTGCTAGTACCTTCTTGCTCCCACTCTTACTTGATCGTTGGAGTACCTTGCAGGTACAACCCCCTCTCTCCTCAGCCCGACTAAAGAACATTCTCCGACCACTCTCCAGGTTCTGATCAACCGCAAGATCACTATGATTAATAATTGAGAGAAAGTGAGATGAGTTCTCATATTTAGGGGGAGTTCTAAATATAAAGTCATTGGGTAGTATTAGAAAAAGGTTATGAACAAAGCATGTTCATGTAAGACTAAGTATACTAATACTATTGATAGTGAATTTCCTTTCTTGGGTTAGACGCCCCTTAGATGTAGGTGTGGTTTGTACTGAATTGAGTTAATAATTGTTGTGTTATTTATTATTTTTTTACTTCATCATTTTGTATAAGTTAAACTGTCATAACTTGGTTGTACACGTTGTCTAAAACATCGTATCCAACATCTATCTCAAGAAATAGAATTTCAATTATCATTTAGGTTATGTTCTGCTAATAGATGATATGCTTCTGCAACAGTAAGTCTTCCAAATCTATCTGTTGGCCAAAGACAAATATCACTGTCATTTTCCATACGGGAAGAAGTATAGAAATAATGTGTGAACAATATTGTTCAACAACACATTACAAATCAGATGTAAATTCCATTCACCCTCGTTAGTGTTGACATAATATAAACTCAAAGTACTAACACTCTCAAAGTACTAACTTTCTTAGACACCACGTCAACCACATATCGCAATCTTGTCTTCTCATCTAACCAGTTATCATACAAAAATATATATTTGCCCCATTTCCAACATCCTAGAATTTATTATCTTGAAGCTTTGACCACTTCCCCATTCTTAATATTTTCCATTAAGAACTTGAGTCTAAATACTTTGTTTCTCTATCCTCAAAGTCAATCATAACTCCATAAGACATACAAAGTTCACACATTTCAAAATTTTCAAACTCAACCCTCTCATATCTTTCGACCATATTAAATCTCTTTGACATAATATAAATATATTTTACAAAAACTACACCAAAACTCATAGAATCAAAAGCAAAAAATTAATATATACATAATTAAAAAATAAAATCAAAACTCTTTAAAAAATTCAAAGTACCTCATCCAAACATAAAATATATAAAAAATTAAAACCAAAACACTTTAAAAATTAAAAAAATAAAATAGAAAAAAATATTGAACAATTTTGAATATGTATTTTTCGTCCCCACACTCTCTAAGATAGTAGCAAATTAGGGTTTTGCGCATATCAACTGAGAGTGAGTTCGTCAGAGATGGGAAGAGAACCAGCAAAGCCGCAACAACAAGGTCAAGAAACCGATTACACCGTCGATCAGCTCGTCGCATTCAATCGTTACAATCCCGATATTTTTCCAGATCTCGAAAACTCCGTCAATGAACAGGTTTCGTAAAAATTTTCATTTTTCCTTTTTTTTCATCATTCACATCACAAAATTAGGGTTTTGCAATCGAATTCAATAACAGATAACAATTTTTGTTCCTTTATTTCATTCGGTTTCGTCTCAGACTTACAGCCTCGAATCAAATCTCTGCCTTCTTCGCCTCTACCAGGTAACAAATTAGGGTTTTTTTTTTTGTTGTGATTAGTAGGTTACATGTAATTGTTGGTTTGTTATTGCAGTTTGAACCTGAGAAACTGAGTTCCCAGATTGTGACTCGCATGTTGGTTAAGGTTTGGTTTAATCGATTTTTTTATTGTTTATTCAATTAAATTTTTGGTTGTTCTTATGTGAACCAAAAGCATGTCATTAAGATTGGGAAGTTGCTGTTAGGAGAGGCTAAAATATTTGGTTTTGTTTCTGAACAGGCACTCATGGCTATGCCGGGTCCAGACTTCAGTCTATGTCTCTTTTTGATTCCCGAACGTGTGGTATGTATGATTCTTATACCTTAGTTACAAGTATTATTTTCTTTGTAGTCGTTGTTCTTGTTATTGTGCGTGAATGAATAGACATTTGAATGATCGGTCACTCTTGTAAGATGTCTTGATTGAGTGTGTTTGGTTCTACGGTGACAAAAATATTGATTCTGAGTTAATTGATTTTGTAGTATTGATTTTGAGTTAATTGATTTTATAGAATTGATTCTGGTTGAAACTGAGTTGAATGTAAAGTGATTTATGTTTGAATACATTTTTGTAAAAGTGAGTTGAACTACAATTTTCAGTGTAAAAATCACGTTCAAACTCAAAAGCTACAAATCTTAGCTTTAGTTAGAATCAATTCTGGAAGAAAAATCAATTTTACTTTTGAGAAAACAAACATGCTTTTGGCCCTTCCAAAATGGATACCAAAATACTCAGAGAAAGGGACTAATAATCAATTACAATTTTATGAATTCTACTCTGTTGTTCTTTAGTACTGTTACATAGGCTTTCTATGAGTCTCTGGTATTCATTTGGGGTTTTGAGAATTTCTTTTTGAATTTGAATTGCCTAACTGCATTGGTTTGGTGATATGTTTATTTCCTTCTTATTAAGCAGTTCTTGATGTGACATTTTGATATCTCTTTTGTTTACTATGAATATTAGCAAATGGAGGACCAGTTCAAGACATTGATTGTTCTGTCTCACTATTTGGAGGTATTCGTCATTAGTTGCTGTGTTTTTAGCAGTTTTTAGAAATCAGAATTTAATGTTGTTCTCTTCTTCAGACCGGAAGGTTTCGTCAGTTCTGGGACGAAGCAGCAAAAAACCGTCATATACTTGATACTGTGCCAGGTAATTACATATTCATGAAATGGTATTGATTTAATTGTTCTAGCTCATTAATTGAGTCATGTTCTTGGGAAGCCTCATGGTCCTGCTGGTCATAGCTATCATGCATGAACATGACAAACATTTCGAGATAGAGCTCAATCATTTATCTGGAAAGGCTTGTCATGAACATGTTATTATTGGGAAATAATATAGTTGTGCTGCTACAATATCTTATTATCCATATACAACAAACATTGCCTTTTGGAAACGATTGGCGATTTTAGCTTATAGGTTCAACTTTTTAATGGGGGTGCTTTTACGTTAACTTGGTGATTAATTTATTGCAGGATTTGAGCAGGCAATCCAAGGCTATGCAGTTCATGTCTTATCATTGACTTACCAAAAGGTTCCTAGAACTGTGCTTGCTGAGGTATGCTTTTAGTTTTGTCCCTCTAAAGATTGGTTCTTTTTTACTTAAATGTTGTTTCTGTCTAAGCTAGTATATGCTAGCACAAAGTAAGTCCGTTGCACTAATTCTCCAAAGTCCATTTTAACTCATATTTGATTCAACTCATTCATCACACAACACTTCCAGATTCACAGCTATATTGTCCTGTTTATTCCTCTAGGGTTAAATAAATGTTGAAAACTTTGGCAGTTAGTTATTTGAATTATTCTGTCAAATACTACTAGAGTGTTGGGTTCTGTTGAAGTTTTCGTTTGAAGACTTTTACATACCTATATGATAGTCAGTTGATTTCTCGTATTACTTTTAAGTATATACTAAAACCGTTTATTTTGTGTTAAACTTCAATAGGCTATCAACATAGAAGGTTTAGCTTTGGACAAATTCCTTGAACACCAAGTAGCAAACTCTGGTTGGGTAATTGAGAAAAGCCAGGGTAGGGGTCAACTCATCGTCCTTCCCAGAAATGAATATAATGACCCAATTTTGAAGAAAAACACTGCTGAAAGTGTACCATTGGAGAATATTACTCGCATCTTCCCTATTCTTAGTTGAGTTTTCTGTAGTGGACTGTACATTTTCTTTTCAGAAGATGTGCAAGTTTGAGATAGTTGCAGCAACATCTTTCAGACTCCCATCCCCTTGGATTCTTCAATTTTTGAATTAGTGAGCAGCTATTGTAATTCAGTCTACTTTTCTGCATTAATGTTTTGAAATCACTTTGCTTTATCGTGCTTTATAATTCATTGGGGTCATTTCCTTGAAGGGACTGTCTTTTCTTTATAGCGCCCAACTCACACGAGTGTTCTGGGAAAAGTTGGATACCTATGTTTCCAAATTCACAGTTCTCCATAAGATGCATTTGTGATCTTTAATGTGTGATATGATTATGTAAAAAAGATATAGCTTGTTTGTGTGGTGGCAACCCTGTTGACGTTACTCTTTGGAGCTTATATAGTAAGGTATAATCCATTCTATTGATAAAAGATTGAGCTAAAATGCCTTATTAATTCTGAGGAGTTAATTATATCTCAACTCGATCCTATTTGCGGAGATGTTTACGAGACACTCTATAGCTAGTTATGAAATCCCTACAATATTCATAAAAAGACTATTGTCCTTAATAAAAAACGTAAAATAATCATGTTATGATAATTCAGAAAATTATTATTATTTAGAAATATCTATTTAAATTGTCAAACTCAAAATATATTTGACGAACTTATGATGTATAATTTGTCAAAGATAGAATATTAATATCAATTATTTATTTAGTGTAATAGTAATATTTCTACTGGTATATAATACTACCATTTGGTTCATGTAAAAACACACCAATTTACTTTGAAAGGCATGAGTAATATTCTCTCAATTTCAAAATGAGTGTCGTTTTAACAAATAAAATTTATTTAATTTCAAAATAAATGTTATTCTCATTTTTTTAATGTAAAAATGATTGATATTTTTTCAATTGTATCTTTTAACTTACTCTTTATACTACTTTCAAATTTTAATAAATTTATAATGTTAATATAGTAAAAGTGGAATGTTTTACGATATTATTATTACATTTTTTATTATGTGTAAAAATTTTAAACGACACTCATTTTGAAATAAATGGAGTATCATTTTGTTTTCTTCTTCATTTTTGAGTTTGATATTATAACAATAAATAGGGATGTTTGCGGTGCCGTTTGAGCTATTTTGAAATAAAAAATCATCCGAACTACAAAGAATTTTGTGTTTAATTGTTCATATATTACCATACAAAACTTTATAATTGTCTAAATAAATTTATAATTTGATACATAAAATTGCGTATTAGAATTTTATCTAAATCTAAAAAATGATATAGACAAAATTGCATCCTTAAATAAATATTATATAAAGAATATAATAAGATATATTTTGTGAAAATAATATTAATGAATAATATTTTATTTTTTATGATTTATAAATTAAAATAAAAATCATATAAAGTATGATAAAATATACACATAATATATTTTGATTTCTATGAAAAATTAAAGAAATATATATTGATTAGTAAAATTTTATAAGCAGCTTTGTTTGGTTTGGTTCGATTTGTAAAATACAAACGACAAACAGAACCGAACCGCGTGGTTCTATTAGAAAATGATCCAAACATATATGAATTAAATCTGATTTTTTACGATTTCAATTTTGATTCAGTTCGATTTTACGGTTTTTTATTGGACCGGTTTGGTTTTGAACACTCCTAACAATAAGAAATCAATATCATCATATTAGTTTCACAAATATTAACCGTCAAATATCTTGTTTTTCTCAACACGTTATCAACACGATCGTTTCTATCAGAAATTTTTACTATATTAGGTATATATATTCTATACTTAGCTCTTTAATTTTATTATTACTCTCATTATTATTATTATTTACTCTGGTTATAGAAAATTAACAATCAATCCAGTGATTTATAATTAGCGTGATTATTATCGTTATTATTACTTTACTCCTTATTATAGAAAAAAACTGACAATTTGTTAAATGCTCTATAATAAGCGCGTGTCTAAAATTACATATGTAACAACCTCTAAAACCCCAAAGTAATTTTCGCAAATAATTAAAATTATAATTTCAGAGTACATGTATAATTCGAGGATGCTACAATTCTCTTTTAATAAAACAATTCCTGTCATGCATAATCTTAGTAGTAACTCATACATGTTTACACAGCGGAATAATTTATTTAATAAAACCAAAGTTATAATATTTTCAATCATCAGGGATTAACACCTGGAATATATCAACATTATATTATAACCAAATACTAAGGAAATAAACGAGTCTGACTAAAGCAGCTCGACAAACAAACGTTCCCGGAGTTACAACTATCAGAGCATGACCCGGACAATACTAAAACGGAAATAAACTAGACACCACAAGCCTTCGCCAAGCACCTGAACGAAGCTCCTCAATCTAAAATATTCAACGGTAAGGGTGAGCATCTCAATTATACATTTGATTATACGTTCATAACAATCCATTCAGGAAATCATAAGCATCACCCAATAATTAGCATATTTCATAGTTTACAAAAACCTTTACAATCCATATACCCATGATACATTGCTTTTCATATTTGCACATAATCATCAAACATCGTCAACCATTTAGCAATTATACGTGCATACAAACAATCAAATACAACATTGGAAAAACCATCCATTCATGTTATATTCCAGGTAATGCAACACACCCATGCATGTGGTACCACTTTACCGCCCCATTAAATCTCGGGTCACGGATAACTCACCGTTCCATTATATCGCGGACACGGCTACCACCTCAACGTTCCATTAAATCGCGGACACGTATATTGGCCACCATGTTAATTCCACACAATGGGAATTAACAAATGCAACATGATATGTAAGTATGTAACACTCAGCATACTATAAACATCAATCAACATATCATGCAACATTAACAACATCAAATCATAACGAGATATGGATAGCATGTAATCACTCAGCATACTATTTAAACATCAATCATATCAAGTCATGTCATAAATTCACGCTCGATAACATTATCCAAAAGCATGGCAATAAAATCCAAAATCAGGCACTGAAAACAAAGTTCAGAAAAATCAACACAGTAACCTCAACACGGGTGCCCGTGTCGTGCAACACGGCCCGTGTTGGGCAATACGTCCAAAAAACACAATTTCTCCTCATCAATACAGGGACTCAACACGGGTGCCCGTGTTGTGCAACACGGCCCGTGTTGTAACATATCCAGAAACACACATTTTTCTCATTACAGGGGACCTAACACGGGTACCCGTGTTGTGCAACACGGCCCGTGTCGTGCAACCAGAAGCACACCATCTCCCAACACAGAAGAGCAACACGGGTGCCCGTGTTGTGCAACACGGCCCGTGTTGCTGAGCGCGTACAGGATTTTCCTGAACCTGCAGCAGCTCAGAAACAGCAGCCAAACGCGGGGAAATGTCGGCTAAACGCGCATTTCGGTACATAACGACATCGATACTTCACAACTCAAAACAACACATTCATTTCATAATTACCAACAATTATTGTAGTAACCTTAACAGTGATTACTCGTCCCTTTTTGGGGAATTCTGACAACATTAAGGTTATCCCTACAACTTCCAAGGTAAATTCACGATCATGCAGATATACTCCCAATTCACCATTTGGAACCTAAAATTCCTAATCGATTCATAAAAATTGGGAACCTAACCATTTTCTACAAGGTTCAATCCTAAGGGTATTGATTCCCACTAACATCTAACAATTGGGGTTTTTCCCTACGATTACCCAAATCAACCGTACATAAACCCATAAACAAAGGTAAACCGAGTAATAGCCCCCCTTACCTTATCAATTAGCAGCTTTGATCTTTTGAGCGATGTTCTTCGTTCCTCGTACCTTCAGAGCTCTATTTCCCCAAATTCTCAACTTCTGTTTATCGTGAAATGAGAAAAGTAACTTGAGTTCCAAAACATAACTTTATTTCTTTTTCACCCCCACTCTTTACTAACAACATCCAAGCCCAATAACTTAAAAACTCAGCATTTTCTTATTTCTTTTATTTTCCTCCATATTTCAAAATAAATAATTCTTTTATTTTATTAACTCCAATAAAATAATTTTCCCATTAAAATAAATCAAATAATTAAAACTGGGGTGTTACAACTCTCCCCCACTAAAAGAGTTTTCGTCCTCGAAAACATACCTTAGACGAACAGTTCCGGATAAGCCCCTTTCATCTGGCTCTCCAGCTCCCAAGTAACATTTCCATCTGCTGGACCTCCCCAAGCAACCTTCACTAATGCTATCTCTTTACCTCTTAACTGTTTCACTTCCCGATCTTCTATCCTCCTAGGCAATGTTTCTACTGTCAGGTTATCTCTCACCTGTACATCATCTATTTGGATTACATGAGATGGGTCTGGAATGTATCTCCTCAACTGAGAAACATGAAAAACATCGTGCAAATTCGCAAGTCTCGGAGGTAAAGCGATACGATAAGCAACTTCTCCAACTCTTTCCGTAATCTGAAACGGACCAATAAAACGCGGAGTCAATTTCTTAGATTTCAACGCTCGACCAATACCCGTCATCGGAGTAACTCTCATAAACACATGATCTCCAGCACTGAATTCTAAATTCTTTCTCCTCTTGTCATGATAACTTTTCTGACGACTCTGAGAAGCTCTCATCTTCTCTTGAATCAATTTGATCTTTTCAGTAGTCTGCTGAACAATTTCTGGCCCAACTACCGAACTCTCTCCAGATTCATACCAACACAAAGGCGTTCTACACCGTCTACCATACAATGCCTCAAACGGAGCCATACCAATACTCGAATGGTAACTATTGTTATAAGTAAATTCAATCAATGGCAAATAGCTATCCCAAGCTCCACCCTTCTCTAAAACACAAGCACGCAGTAAATCTTCTAATGATTGAATCGTCCTCTCCGTCTGTCCATCAGTCTGAGGATGGTAAGCTGAACTCAACCTCAATTTAGTACCCAAAGCC